AAAAAAAAAAAAAGAAAAGAAATAATGTTAAAGGAAAATGAAAAAAAAAAAACAAACATCAAATATATTGTAACTTTTTTTGCATTTAGTATAATATACCTACCTTACTACCAATTCCTGTTAGTATTCTCTTTATTTATCAGTAATATTTCACCATTTCTTTCATGTTTCAAAGATGATGTTCGAGCCTATGCGTGTTTATCAATCAAACACTATGCGTGCACATAAGCTTGAGAGTGATTATCATTAGTAGTAACGTTTAACGAATGTTATCGTTTACAATTGTTTAGAACAGTATTCTAACTTGTTTAAGCAAATTTCGAATGTTTTTGTTTAAAACGAAATTATTTTTAATTGTTGTAGTCCATTAGTAATATTCTTTTACTTATTATCTTTTCGTCACTGGTACGAGAAAAGTACTTCCATCTTTTTCATTTGCGTATATGTATATGTTGGGACAACTTAACACTTGCTTACATGTAAATAAAAAAGAAAGTAAACACGTACAATTTAGTTGTTTAAAATGACTGAAATAAAAACGCATTGAAATGAAAGGAAGAAACATTTCGGAATGTGTCTTTCTCATCCTCGGTGAGTTCGTGTATCATTTGATCCTTTGATTTATTTTCATTGTTCAAAGTGAAATATTAGTAGTTTCGCTGCCGCGCAAATAATACAAGTGTCCTCGGAAATGCAGTTCTGTTACATAAGTTTTGTAACATAAGTTCCATTACTTCAATTAAAGGGTTAAATTGATTTACTCTCGTTCACCGAATGAACATTTAACCGCAGTAGTCGTTTATTTGCGATCGCTTGATACACATTTCCTCATTGTGACCTGGTTATCGTGGACACGAGACACATAGTACAGTAATACAGTATGAAACTTGCAACAATCAGTGTACGAGATTTGCATTCCCTGATAATGGATCTCAAGTAGTGTTCGTTATAATAACGTTTATTATAATAAGATTTATTTACTTGTTATTTCACGACGTAGTAAAGCAACGCTAATGTTGAGGAATACTTCGTCCGTGCTCGTTTTGTTAAATCGTCGCAATTTCTAAATTAACCGACATGGTTGAGCGATTATTCGACAATTTTCGTGCCACGCGCGCGCGGTGGAATTCAATTTTTGCCTACTCTATATCTTGAACTTTGCTACGATTTTGCCACGGTTGCAAAGTTCCTTGTCAAATTACATTAAACACATTAGAATTTCAAACGAGCTCGCGTAACACGATTATCAATTTACAAACGTTTTCAATACTTTGCAACAGTTGTTAGATGGCTCCAACGAGTCTCCTCATGAAATAAATCTGTCTTGTATGTAACTCCTGCATATATACCTTTTTTGTTTCCAGGTTTGTCTGAAATTTCGTCGCACTACAGTGAGATCGGTCGAATTTCTAAAATGGC